TGTTATAGCATGTCGCAGCTTTTTTACGCCAACTGAAAATTGTTTACGCAAGTCAGAGGTTGACTGCGTAATGTCTGATACTTATACGGTGACGGAAGTTATCTTATTTAAGCTATGAACGTTTCTAACGTCGTATTTTAATTATTTAGGGTATATTAGCAGATTATTTCCTTACGACCATTAATGGACTAGGTAATAGGCAAGTAGACAGCATATACGACACAGTGTACTGGTTATAACATTCACTTGATCAGGTAGATAACATGTACGACACAGTGTACTGGTTATAACATTCACTTGATCAGGTAGACAACATGTAAGACACAGTGTACTGGTTATAACATTCACTTGATCAGGTAGACAACATGTAAGACACAGTGTACTGGTTATAACATTCGCTTGATCAGGTAGACAACATGTACGACACAGTGTACTGGTTATAACATTCACTTGATTAATTCCCACAGAGACAAGAAACATGAACGAATTAAAAAATATCACTCTGTCGAAAAGATCAAATGTTAAGACAACTCTACCTAAGTGATTGAGTCTCTTTCGCACCAAAACTGATTTAGACTCTTCGCCATCACCTCAAGGGAGGTTCCTTGATGCTGGTGAGGAGCTCTTGATCTAGGGAATTGGATCTGTCCTCCACTTCCCTGAATTAAGCCTGAATACCTTCCGTCCCCCCCCCTAAGAGGCGCTGTATAATCCCTACGGGTTTAGCTCTCCCCATGATATTAATAACATTAATAATAATAACACCTTTCCTAGCGTTGCTAAAAATTAACGTAATTTAATTTACCCCAACTCTACTAACCTTTTCTTATTATTTAACACTAATCATACATATCAACGCACCACGCAGGAACAGGCAGGTATATACAGAGAAAGATCGCAGTCAGCAGGATTCGAAACAACGTTAGGGGCGCACCTGAGGGAACCTTGCCAGACGCCCCTGATGTGGTTTCTAATCCCACTGGCTGCGATCTTTCTCTATGAATCATATATATTTATCTCGCTATGATCAGACTGATATACCTGGAGTTAACAGGACACTGAACTTCAGCTCTGCTTGTGCCACCAAGTTACTGTTTCTCTATAACAATACTAACAACTTGAATAATAACACAACAGAACCGACAGGTTGATAAATGAGACACTTGTACAACATTTGGGAATCTTTATTCTCGAAACGTTTCGCCACGCAGTGACTTCTTCAGGCCAATGCGGAGAAAGGTGGAGGATGAGGAAGAGTTTGAGATAATCAGTCACGTACTAAATGTTTACACAAGTCAACCCCTTGCTTAAACAGGTAACCTTTATTTCAACCCCTTACCTTCATAAGTAACCTTTATATCAACCCCTTACCTTTATAAGTAACCTTCTTTATCTCAACCCCTTACCTTCATAAGTAACCTTTATCTCAACCCCTTACCTTCATAAGTAACCTTTATCTCAACCCCTTACCCTCATAAGTAACCTTTATCTCAACCCTCACCCCCTTGCTTATATAAATGCTTGTACGCTACGCATTTATTGACATAATGAAGAAATACGTACTGCCCAGACGATCATCAATCACCAACCTACACCACGTCTGCCTGGGACAAGTAGGGACACGTCGCTGCTACCTACCATAGTGACACGTCGCTGCTACCTACCAGTGACACGTCGCTGCTACCTACCATAGTGACATGTCGCTGCTACCTACCATAGTGACACGTCGCTGCTACCTACCATAGTGACATGTCGCTGCTACCTACCATAGACACGTCGCTGCTATCTATCATAGACATGTCGCTGCTATCTATCATAGACATGTCGCTGCTACCTACCATAGTGACACGTCGATGCTACCTACCATAGTGACACGTCGCTGCTACCTACCATAGTGACATGTCGCTGCTACCTACCATAGTGACACGTCGCTGCTATCATAGACATGTCGCTGCTACCTACCATAGTGACACGTCGCTGCTATCATAGACATGTCGCTGCTACATACCATAGTGACACGTCGCTGCTATCATAGACATGTCGCTGCTACCTACCATAGACACGTCGCTGCTACCTATCATAGACATGTCGCTGCTACCTACAATAGGGACACGTCGCTGCTACCTACCATAGTGACACGTCGCTGCTACCTATCATAGACACGTCGCTGCTACCTACCATAGACACGTCGCTGCTATCTATCATAGACATGTCGCTGCTACCTACCATAGTGACACGTCGCTGCTACCTACCATAGTGACACGTCGCTGCTACCTACCATAGACACGTCGCTGCTATCTATCATAGACATGTTGCTGCTACCTACCATAGTGACACGTCGCTGCTACCTACCATAATGACACGTCGCTGCTACCTACCATAGTGACACGTCGCTGCTACCTACCATAGTGACACGTCGCTGCTACCTACCATAGACACGTCGCTGCTACCTATCATAGACATGTCGCTGGTACCTACCATAGGGACACGTCGCTGCTACCTACCATAGTGACACGTCGCTGCTACCTATCATAGACACGTCGCTGCTACCTATCATAGACACGTCGCTGCTACCTATCATAGACACGTCGCTGCTACCTACCATAGGGACACCTCGCTGCTACCTACCATAGTGACACGTCGCTGCTACCTACCATAGTGACACGTCGCTGCTACCTACCATAGTGACACGTCGCTGCTACCTACCATAGACACGTCGCTGCTGTCTATCATAGACATGTCGCTGCTACCTACCATAGTGACACGTCGCTGCTACCTACCATAGACACGTCGCTGTTATCTATCATAGACATGTCGCTGCTACCTCCCATAGTGACACGTCGCTGCTACCTACTATAGTGACACGTCGCTGCTACCTACCATAGTGACACGTCTCTGCTACACAATACACAAATAACCCGCACCTACCATAGTGACACGTCGCTGCTACCTACCATAGACACGTCGCTATCATAGACATGTCGCTGCTACCTACCATAGTGACACGTCGCTGCTACCTACCATAGTGACACGTCTCTGCTACCTACCATAGTGACACGTCGCTGCTACCTACCATAGACACGTCGCTATCATAAACATGTCGCTGCTACCTACCATAGGGACACGGCGCTGCTACCTACCATAGACACGTTACTGCTACCTACCATAAACACGTCGCTGCTACCTACCATAGACACGTCACTGCTACCTACCATAGACACGTCGCTGCTATCATAGACATGTCGCTGCTACCTACCATAGTGACACGTCGCTGCTACCTACAATAGTGACACGTCGCTGCTACCTACCATAGACACGTCGCTGCTACCTACCATAGACACGTCGCTGCTACCTACCATAGACACGTCGCTGGTATCATAGACATGTCGCTGCTACCTACCATAGTGACACGTCGCTGGTATCATAGACATGTCGCTGCTACCTACCATAGTGACACGTCGCTGGTATCATAGACATGTCGCTGCTACCTACCATAGTGACACGTCGCTGCTACCTACCATACTGACACGTCGCTGCTACCTACCACAGACACGTCGCTATCATAGACATGTCGCTGCTACCTACCATAGGGACACGTCGCTGCTACCTACCATAGTGACACGTTGCTGCTACCTACCATAGACACGTCGCTGCTATCATAGACATGTCGCTGCTACCTACCATAGTGACACGTCGCTGCTACCTATCATAGTGACACGTCGCTGCTACCTACCATAGGGACACGTCGCTGCTACCTGGTATTATTATTATTTTATTAAAGCTATTATTAATTAGTATCAGATAAGAATAATATTAATATTTAGGAAAGAGAGACATTAAAGTAATCTTGACTTGTGGTGAGAAGTTTACCCGAGGACTTAATATCTCTCGTGGAGGTTTAGACCTGATTAACCAAGCAAGCAAGAAGTTGGGAAAGACGAGCCTGTCCCATGGCCGGGCTCCCTTGGAGGTTTAGACCCGATTAACCAAGAAGTAGGGAAAGACGAGCCTGACCCATGGCCGGGCTCAGAGAGTAGAGAAACTCTCGAAACTCTTCAAAGGTATATCAAAGGGTGAGAGGTAGGGGTTAAGAAACCGGAGTGTACAAGGGCGGGGGAAGGGGAGGAGGGCAGAAGGTGGGGGTAATGGGCAGAGGATTGGGGAGGGGAAGGGGGATGAGGGTAGGGGAAGGGGAAGGTGGCAGAGGGAAGGGGGAAGTAAAAATAAGGATTAAAGAGAACAAATGCTGTACGTTCTGCGAGAAATTCCTGGAATACCAACGTGAGGGCCTGTAAATTCTGTCGCTTGTTGGGGGGGGGGAAGGAGGGGGATGGGGAGGAGAGGAGCAGGAGGAGAAGGTGGTTTTGGAGGAGGAGAAAGAGTAAGGGACAAAGAAGGAGGAGGAGGAGGATAAGAAGAAATAGAAGAAGAAGAAGAAGAAGAAGAAGAAAATCAAGAAGAAATGATGATAAAAAAAACCAGAGGGTGAGGGGAAGAAGGGAAGGGGCTGGTGGATGGGTGGGCGTCGGATTTTCTAGGTGAAAGATAACGTGAAGTGAAGATAATCAATCAATGAGACGGTGATTGGTTCCGTGGGGACCCACCACCAGGGTTGTGTTGTGGCAACACTGTGTTAACTACAGCTTGTGTTGCGGCAGAAGTGTGTGTTAAATACAGTGCAGAATACATGTAACACTTAACAAGGTGGACACGGTAGAGTAAAGGATGGAAAGGGAATGTCAATTAATTATTCAATAATAATAATAATAACAATAATAATTGTACTAATAATCACTAATTTCAGTATAAATATTTTTGTTGTTGCTGATATTGAGTGTTGAGGATGTTATTGTTTCTGCTGTTGAGGTTACTGATGTTGTTGGGGGAAGGGCTAGGCCCAACGTTTCGCTCAATGAGAGCGAAACTTTGTCTTAACTAAAGCTGTACTCTACTGTGTCTCTGAGTATGACCCAGTTAACACCTGCCTCTCTATATTGCAGGCCTTCGTCAACACAGGCACCAACTTACAGCTGTCATTCACACCTGCACCGGGGGGATACTCCCCAGATGTCGACTTCAACAAGGAACCAGGCAAGGTAAGCAACCCCCCTCACTCTAGGTTAATTAATGGCAGGTGTCACCCACCCTTGAATCAAAACGCTGGTTTCTTAACGAATTACAGTGCGTGTGTTTCTGCACTCGCTGCTACATCCTACACAAATAACCCGCATAGGAGAGATTACGACGACGTTTCGGTCCGACTTGGACCATTTACAAGTCACACTAACACAAGAGAGTGAGGAAGCCAGTATATATAGACGAAGGGGAGAGGGACGGGACGAAGAGAGGAAGAACAAGCAGTAGTAGTGGTAGTGGTAATGCTGGTAGTGGAAGTTGTAGTAGTAGTAGTAGTAGTAGTGGTAGTAGGGGAAGTAGTAGTAGTAGTAGTAGGGGAAGTAGTTTTAGTGGCACAGGAGATAGAAAGGGGAGGCAATAGTAGCCGTAGTAGCAGTAGTAGTAGTACTAGAGTGGGTCACAATAGTTGAGGTTACTTACCTACTTAACTTGTGTCTACCGGTCCCAGACCAGGCCTCCTGGTTGATAACCTGATCGGCCAAGTTATTGGTGCTTTCTGCATGAAGTTTAACGTCGACACCAGAGCCCGGCTGCCAGATGGAAGCTATCAAAGAACGAACAAAATACATGCATAGCCGAGGAGGATGCTATCTTGTGGCAACAGCGGCCAGGTAACCACATACGAGACTAGTAAACAAATACGTAGGGAAACCCAAGCTGGATACGAGGGCGACCCAAGCTGGGTATGAGGACTACCCAAGCTAGGTATGAGGACGACCCAAGCTGTGTATGAGGACCCCGGCTGGGGTATGAGGACGACCCAAGCTGGGTATGAGGACTCCCCAGCTGGGTATGAGGACTACCCAAGTTGGGTATGAGGACTACCCAAGCTAGGTATGAGGACGACCCAAGCTGGGTATGAGGACGAGCTGCGCTGAGTAGCATTTCTTTCATATCGAATTGCAGGAACATACTATCATTCTCCTGGAAGACTGGGGGTTTGTTTACACGGTTGTCCTACACACGAGGTAAAGTTATCGTATTAGTTGGGTTGACTTACACATGGATACGCGGTATATACACTTGATATTTGCATATCTGTGTATATACACTTTGCTTGATTTATATTAGAGACACTGAAGTATTCTTCATGTTCTTCCTTTCTGCTGAAAGTGCATCAAGGACGTGCTGAAAGTGCATCAAGGACGTGCTGAAAGTGCATCAAGGACGTGGTTATAAGCATTACAGTCTTAATGTTAGTGTACAGTCTTATTACACTAATATCTAGCAGGGATACCTTTTGTTACCTTTGACGAGTTTCGAGAGTCTTTCTACTCCCGGAGCCCGGCCATGGGCCAGACTCGGTGAAAGTTGTATATACACCGAGAGTTATATCTTTAAGAGTATATATATCAAGCTAGGTTTAATCTTGATCATAGAGATTAAATTATACTAATGTTGTAACAGACTTAAAAAACTAACAGGCAAGATTCATTTCAAATATCGCCACACAATATAATCTAACTGTAATTAGAATAAAGTGTGAGTGTTGAGCAGCAGCTCTTGGACCTGCCTTTCTGCGATCTGTTTCTGTAATATCCGTTTATGTAGCAACTATTGATTTATTCATGGGAAAGCGCTAAGCCCGTAGGATTTATACGGTGCCTGAGTACAGGGACGTAATCAAGTTTGGTTCAAGGAAGCGAAGGGTAGCTAATATTTGGTGAATCAAGACCCCGTCACCCACAACCCTGAAAGATCACCAGACTGGGGTTATGACTCAGTCTCATGCATTTAGTCTGATTATCATCAGAAGTAGTGTCATTACCACCAGTAGTGTCATTACCACCAGTAGTGTCATTACCACCAGTAGTGTCATTACCACCAGCAGTGTCATTACCACCAGTAGTGTCATTACCACCTGTGTCATTACCACCAATAGTGTCATTACCACCAGCAGTGTCATTACCACCAGTAGTGTCATTACCACCTGTGTCATTACCACCAATAGTGTCATTACCAACAGTAGTGTCATTACCACCAGTGTGTCATTACCACCTGTGTCATTACCCCCAGTAGTGTCATTTCCAACCAGTAGTGTTCATTACACCAGAGTAGTGTCTTTACCACCCGCAGTGTCATTACCACCAGTAGTGTCATTACCACCAGCAGTGTCATTACCACCAGTAGTGTCATTACCACCAGCAGTGTCATTACCACCAATAGTGTCATTACCACCAGCAGTGTCATTACCACCAATAGTGTCATTTACCACCAGTTGGTTTATTACCACCAATAGTGTCATTACCACCCGGGAGTGTCATTACCACCAGTAGGGGTCATTACCACCGCCCGTGTCATTACCCCAATTTGTGTCATTACCACCAGTAGTTCATTACCACCAGTTGGGTTCATTACCACCAGCAGTGTCATTACACCAATGTGTCATTACCACCAGTAGTGTCATTACCACCAGTAGTGTCATTACCACCTGTGTCATTACCACCAATAGTGTCATTACCACCAGCAGTGTCATTACCACCAGTAGTGTCATTACCACCAGCAGTGTCATTACCACCAATAGTGTCATTACCACCAGTAGTGTCATTACTACCAGTAGTGTCATTACCACCTGTGTCATTACCACCAATAGTGTCATTACCACCAGTAGTGTCATTGCCACCTGTGTCATTACCACCAATAGTGTCATTAACACCAGTAGTGTCATTACCACCAGCAGTGTCATTACCACCAGCAGTGTCATCACCACCAGTAGTGTCATTACCACCAGTAGTGTCATTACCACCAGTAGTGTCATTGCCACCAGCAGTGTCATTACCACCAGTAGTGTCATTAGGTGTCATTGCTATCAGAAGTTGTGTCTTGACAACCAGTAGTGCCATCAGGTGTCATTACCATCAAAAGTAGTGTCACTGAGTGTCATTACCATCAGAACCCTCACCATATGTGTTCCTCTTCATCACCTCCATCATCTATGGCATATCTGAGGGTTCAGTTTCCATGCTTGATGTTCTGCGTGCATTTAAGACGGAGTATCGAACCTTCACCACTCCGTGCAAAACCTACATGAGCTTAGTACATCACATAAAAGTTTGCACGTGTGCCCTCGTGCTGGCTCCTGGCCCAGACTGCTTGATTGGTTAATGGGGTTTAAAGGCTATCAGGTCAATAAGGCTCAACCTAACTTTCTACATCACCAGACAAGAATACTGTAATCCCTAAAATAGGAATTAAACTAAACTCTCAGAATATATACGCTGAGAAAAATACATTTGTTGGTGTACAGTAGGGCCCCACTTATACGGCGGGTTAGGTTCCAGGCTACCGCCGTAAAGCGGAAATCGCCGTAAAGTGGAACACCCTTTTTTTCCACTTATAAATGCATACAAACACTAGATAACAAGTTTACACTAACATATATTAAGTTAGCAATAGAACCAGGCATCAAAAAACAATAAAAAGGTACAATACACACATAGTGCACTCATTACTTACCTTAAAATATTTATAGTCTTAATCTAGGGTGAGACAAAATAGTATTTATTTTTAAGAAATCAAGTGTGGTATGTATTGTAATAGGCAGGCTATTTCACCAGGCACCCCACCCACACAACTTTTTTATGTATTTAAGCATCCAGAGCGTTTTTAAAATGTATAACAGTTCACTCTTACTCTTAAAATATTTGTAGTTTAATTAGGGTCACCCCCAATAAACGTTTGTCTTCAGAGCAGTGAATATAACCTCCAGGACGGGGAAAAAACCGCGTTTAGAGAGTTTTAAAACTCCAGGGGCCTGCGTTAGCCCCTGGGTTCTAGCGGGTTCTATCCCCGTCTGGTATGGGTTTTTTTTGCATCGTGTCATTTTCGATTTCGTGAGTCAGCAGGAAATATCCTGTATCAGCCCCAATAAACAGTCTGTCTTCAAAAGGGAGTAGTCCGGGGCCCAAGACTGTTTTAACAGCCCCCCACCCGCAATAAGGGGATTAGGGAAGACCCCTGGTTGTTTAAGAGGGGTGGAAGATACCTAAAGCGGTGCCGGGATCAGCCGGGCTGTGGTTCGTACGTTTGGGTTGCGTGCGGCCACAGAACAGCCTCGTTGATGGACTGATCCCCGGCTGGCGTGGACCGGGGCCGCGGGGGGGGTTGATCCCCGGAAAACCCTCCATGTGACTCCAGGTAATATATCCTGTGCAGCCCAATAAAAAGTTTTTCTTCAAAAGCCGTGAATATTCCTGTGTCAGCCCGAATAAAAAGTTGTTTAAGAGCAGTGAAATTTTCCTGTGTCAGCCCCAATAAAAAAGTTTGTCTCAAGGCGTGAATTTATCCTGTGTCAGCCCGAATAAACAGTTTGTCTTCAAGAGCGATGAATATATCCTGTGTCAGCCCCAATAAACAGTTTGTCTTCAAGAGCAGTGAATATATCCTGTGTCAGCCCGAATAAACAGTTTGTCTTCAAGAGCGATGAATATATCCTGTGTCAGCCCGAATAAAGAGTTTGTCTTCAAGAGCAGTGAATATATCCTGTGTCAGCCCGAATAAACAGTTTGTCTTCAAGAGCGATGAATATATCCTGTGTCAGCCCGAATAAACAGTTTGTCTTCAAGAGCGATGAATATATCCTGTGTCAGCCCGAATAAACAGTTTGTCTTCAAGGGCGATGAATATATCCTGTGTCAGCCCCAATAAACAGTTTGTCTTCAAGAACGGTGTGTGTACACCTGTTTATAAGTACTTACCTGTGATTACCTATTTAAGAGATCCTTTGAGTGAGCACTTAATAGTGAAAGTCTAGGAGCAGGTGATGAGCACCGTAGTCTTGAAGAGTTTGAAGCACAGGCAGATGATGGATGATTTCCTGGAGGGTGGCCCAGGACACGGGTCTTCCAAATGGCAACTCGTTGAGGGAGAAGTATAGCTCTACCTCAGGTATAACAGACACTGCCTTTGTCTACTGCACAAAATTACCCATTTGTGACAACTATTTTGCACCAACTATAACAGAACAATTCTTGTGGTATCCCGTGTTTAGTAATTGTTTTTCACCGTCTCCCCGGGATGTGACCTACAACTGTTGACTAGCGCGCAGATACCTTATTTACTGCTTCCACACTTCATCGCGTAACTATTAGTGAATCCCGTCCCCTGCAACGTCTTCGGGATCTTCCACTTCACCTTCGACAGTATTTAAGAGGCACGCGAGTTTCCCTGTCTGCTAATATTGTGTTTATTTTTTCCATATAATCTACCTTTACTTAATTCATGGTATAACTTAACAAAGCTTTGAGTACAATTGTGTTGTAGAGGTCTGAGCAAAGCTCAGACCTCTACAACACAGTTACGAAACAGACAAAGCAAATGCGATAGTAATTATGGACAAGATAGATTACAGTGGAAAAATAAACATTTTATTAGAAAACTGGGGAACTTACGTGCCTCTTAAGACCCCATTCTCTATTTCAGCTTCATATCGTTTCTCCAAGGTTGATGGACTGATTACATCATCTTCATTTCACTACTACACCTGTTGCCTCTGTAGCTGACTGAAGAAGTCTACTGTGTAGACGAAACGTTTCAACAATAAAGATACCCAACTGTTGCATATGTGTCTTAATCA